AATTTTTTTACTAACTCTAGAACATACTTCCTCCTGACATGTCGATCTTGATGTTGTTCATTAAATAGCTGAGCTGTTCTATTCGCACATTTATTGTTCATAAAGTAAAGCGAAATGATATCTACCCTTTCCGCAATGGAATAAACTATAGTGTTTAATTTTCAAAAACACAATTAAATAAACTACCAACCAACGCTTCCAAATAATTTGGAATCCACTAATTTTACGTTCATTGTGTGTATATAGCATTCATTTCTGTTTTTTACAATTGTGTTTTTTTTACGAAAGTGATAACAAATCGCCGAAAACCAATGTAACGCAAGAAATACTAAATTTATACCATTGCGTACTTAACTCGAATGACTGACATTTTCACCGTTACTAATTGCTTGTACATAAGTTTCAACTTTAAAATAAAAATTCTTAATAAGTATTGAGCGGAATTTAAAGTCTGTTGTAAAGAGAATGGCTTCAGCTTTTAAAAGAAATATTACTCAACCCCCCAATGCCATTTAAATATTTTGGGGTGATGCTTACCCTTGCTTGGGGGTGAAAGTAGCGGAGTCAAAATACCAGCAAAGAATGTCCCCCTTTAATTTAAAATCGACGGGTCTGAGCGTTTTTCTACAATCTTGACGCAGTTCCTGAAAATGGCTTTGTTTCATTTTCATTTGGCCACCCTGTATAATTGTCGTTACTATATCAATGATACCAATAAAAGCATGATAGTACTGTTTCATGTAAATAATGTATCCATATTTACAATTCTGTCCTTAGTTCCTGTATAACAAATTTCATAATCATCGGTATAGGATTTTTATTTATAGTTTTTTCTCTTATATTCTACATTTCCTTATTTATTTTTGTGATAGAATAAATATATTATATGTATTTACGAATATACATTCATAACTATTTATTTAATATGTAATTTCATGTTATATTATTTGATAAGATATCGACTGTCGTCTTGTTAATTTATTTTATGTCCAAGGTATCTAAACAAATCTTGTTTATTCTAGAACTGATTTCTCTTTATCTGTATTTCTATTTTTTTAGGAAACTGTAAGATCTATTTGTTTCTCTTTTTCTGTTTATTGTATTTAATAACAGATGACTCAAATTAAATCCCAGCAATATAATAACAATTACACACTCCATAAGCTGTAAGTATATTATTGTTCACTAATTATGTGGTTCAGCGAAATTCGCTTGGAAAAATATTTAAATAGAAAATACATGTTGCTATTTTATTTATAATAAAACGGATTTAAAACAAATTTTACGTGTTTTATTGACATTTAACACAGCTCTGTAGCTAATGCTGTATTTGCACGAGTTACAGAGTAATATGTTCATATTTTATGCACCACTTAATTTGTAGATGATTTCCAAATTTGTGTTAACTTTTTATTTTTTATTAAAACACACAATTTATTCGAAATAACTACATATATTTATTTAATATTAAATTAAACATGTTGCGGTTAATAATGTAAAAGAATGTCAGATAAGTGACCACCTTTTGCAGCTCTACAAGCCTTCAATCTTTTAACAAAGTTTTCCATCATATGTTCACATAATAGTGGTTCAATTTGAGTGATTTGCTCAATTATGTTTTCTTTCAGATGTTGAATGGTTTGAGGATTGGTTGCTCTTCAAAAAACCCTTATAAAAAGAAGTCTAATGGTGATAGATCGCATGATCTTGGTGGCCAATTAACATTTCTTCGAGAAATTATTCGATTACCAAATTTCTGCTTCAAAACGGCGCAAAATTAGTAAAGATTCAAAGATGTGGACACTCCTGTCCAACACTTTAAATAGATATTAGGTACTTACAGAATTGACGTACAAATTTCCTCCAATGTTTGCCAGATTAAGCACCAGTCCGTAGTAAACCAAATAGACACTGAACCAAATGAGGAACAAACACACAGTTTTCTTCCTCATCTGCGCTGTTTTGAACAAATCCAATACGTTCACGTTTTCCGCTGGTTCTTCGGGAGATTCCGGCAGCAACTGCTTGTCAATGTTTGGAGGAAGGTCTCTGCCGTTCGCTTTGGCCGCTTTTTCCAAAATCACCATCACTTCCTGAGTGCGACCAACGGCCAGCAGCCATCTTGGGGACTCCGGCAATATCCACCTAAAAAGATCAATTGATATTTTCATTATTTTTAAGTTTTTGGGACTTACATTTTTTGCTAAGTACACAGTGAGCGAAAAAATTTGGAGGTAATCTACTCATAAAAACCATGGCTCAAAATTAAATTTTTTCTTTATTATTATTATATCATATTTTCTTTTAATTATACCAGCAATGTCCAGCAAATATCAGCAAATAAATCATTCGTCAGCTGAACCCATCAGACATATACTGAAATCAGACTGATTGATCCATATGTCATAGGCGAGTAGTGACCATTCATAGATGTAGCAGTCTGCTATGTCTAATATACAGGGTGTTTCAGTTTGATATGTCACAAGCACGTGAGCATATTTTAGGAATACAAATAAGAATAAAAGTCAGGTAAACTTTTGTTCTAACTTCCTTCGTTATGAAGATACAGGGGGTTGAATTTTTTCTATAAATTAAAATTTTCTTTCATAACTTTTAAACGGATTAAGATATTATCAAATTTGGGGTACTGTGTAAGCCGAGGATATTGCATTTGCTGCCAAAATATGGCTCTTTAAAATGAAGCAGTGGCGTAGATACAGGGTGAGTCTGTCACTTTGGGCAAAATAAATATGTGACGCCATTGGTTAAATTAAAAAAAAAGTGATCATTTCATAATTTTACAATTCATTTCCAATAAAAATGGTCTCTTTCATTTTCTTCGTGTCTCTCATAGTTTAGTCACAAATTGAAATGTTTATGTGGAGCAAAATTGTGCTATTCGATTGTTAACTGCTATTGAACATATTAACTACAATAAGTAATATGATATTTTGCTTAATTTTGAAAATTTCTGGCGCAGTAATAATTTATGTATCCTATTGCCATAATCTTAAGAAGAAGTATGTAGTAGTACTTAACACATTATTTGTCCTTTTTATTTAATTAAGATAATATACATATGATCAAAATTATTATAAGAAAACTTCATGTCAGATAAAATCAAAACTTGTTTCAATATAATTTATTATTATTAAATATTAGACCCCTATCTAATAAAAATTTACAATAATTGTTCGAAGTGCCGTCCTTGAACTAGGATGCACGCTTCAGCTCGACGTAATAACGATCTCCGAACTCGTTCGAAAATCCCTGGGGTATTTAAAATTGCTCTACAACTATTTTGTATGCGAAGCTGTAGATCTTCAATACTTTGAACCTCTGTTTCGTATACCAAACTTTTTAAGTGACCCCACAAAAAGAAGTCAAGGGGGTTCAGGTCAGGCGACCTTGCTGGCCAAGCTACATGACCCCCTCGAGCTATCCACCTATTTGGATAGGTGTTCTGCAAATAATTCCTGGCAGCTAAACTGAAGTGGGCAGGTGCCCCGTCCTGCATAAACCAGAGCAATACTCTTGTTGCAAGTGGAACCTCTTCCAACAATCCTGGTAGGATTTCCTCTAAAAAATGCCTATAGGCTTGGCCGGTTAAACGGTTTGGCAAAACATGTGGCCCGATTAAAATATCGCCAATAATACCACACCAGATATTTAGCGAGAACTGCTGTTGATGCGTACCAGCGACAGTCCAATTAGGGTTCTCGTCAGCCCAGTAATGCATGTTGTGTGAGTTCATTATGCCATCTCTTGCAAAACTGGCTTCATCAGTAAATAATATGTGTGCTACAAAGTTAGGCTCTTCTGCACAACGGTTCAGCAGCCAGCGACAAAATTGTTGTTGTCGAGGTGGATAATCTGCTGGAGTCTACGCTTGCACCTTTTGAAAGTGAAATGGATACAGATGTTGATTACGAATTGTGCGCCAGACCGTTGTATGACTTACGCCCAGTTCAGAGCTCTGGTGCTTGTCGTTGGTTCCCTTTCCACCATTTGAAGAATCTGATCTTCAAAATTTGGTTGTCGGGGTCGCGGTCTCTCAATAGCCCCTATACGAATTCCTCTACGCCACTGCTTAATTTTAAAGAGCCATATTTTGGCAACAAATGCAATATCCTCGGCTTACACAGTACCCCAAATTTAATAACAATATCTTAATCCGTTTAAAAGTTATGAAAGAAAATTTTAATTTATAGAAAAAATTCAACCCCCTGTATCTTTATAACGAAGGAAGTTAGAACAAAAGTTTACCAGACTTATTCTTATTTTTATTCCCAAAATATGCTCACGTGTTTGTGACATATCAAACTGAAACACCCTGTATATTGACTGCAGCTGGTCTAAATAAAAAAGAAATATTTAATTTAGGTACAAATTTAGTAAAAAAGGAAAATATAGTTTGATTAGGTGCCCCAAATATTCTCTGTCCGTTACTGATATCTAAGTTTATTATAAGAAACTATGTAATCTAATAATATGTAACAAATAGAACATTTTAACAGAAAATTGCATATTTGAAAACTATAACCTCTTCAAAATTATAAAGCATACGGTTGCTAGTTTCTTTTTGGGTAGGAGAGCAACAAATTTTTGAAATAGTTTTTAGAGATTTTTGTAAAAATCTCACTACATTTTCAAATTAGACAAGAACCAGTTATCTAGTAACTCGGTAAAAATGATTTATGCAGCGCAAAAGTTTATGTTTACAATCGTTTTTTTTACGAAGAAGAAAACTGCAATTTTTACATGACAATGTTCTTCATTTGTAACTACTGAGCCGATTTGCTATTAAATCGCAAGAGATATTTAAAATGGCTGTTATTCGTTCACGACATTGTCAAATTAACTGATATTGTATTTTTATGTATTATCATTTTCAAATGAAGGTCGTGTCACACATAATGACCAGATCTGTTAAAAGGAAGAGTTTAGGCGCCATAATCAACCACGGACATTTATAAAAATAGTCTTTAGAAATTATCACACGTAAACAAGTTTTTATTTAGCTTTCCGATGATGGGCGGCTGCTTTTTAATTTGATAATTCTGTAGTTAACAACTTTAACTACGGTTTAAAGTAATTTGAAACATTAACATGTTTATATAATTATTACAATATACCAGAGGCAACATAAAGAAGTTATATTTCTATATATCTGACAAAATTCTAGAATTGACACGAAAAAACTTGCCATTATAACGTAACTTATTATTAATATTAAAAATGAATTTTTTATTATAACTGTCAAAATCTGTCATGAAAACATTATGAAACAATTAAAAATAAAATGTATTAGCCAAAGCTGTCAATTAATTATTATTTGCAATAATACTGAACATACAAGAGATGACATGAATCAAGAGTAAAATAAGAATCACAAATAAGATTTTAGATTCTTGAAGTTATTAATTATTCTTCAAAAGTCTTTCCACCACACTACCACACACCGTATTATCCTTAACAGGAATAAAAGTAAATGGTGTAACAACACAAACGCATTATTTATTTTCATCTTTCCCAGCCTCGTCGCTAAAGATAATTTTCTTAGCAAAATAATCGTCCAGTTGTTGATTCTCCAACATCCAAACAACGAATGTACGACGAATTAAATGGTCATGATTTCAATTCCTAAGTTAGCTGAATCTTGAATGCATGCAGATGCAGATCTTTCGTTAAATTCAGCTACGTTACTAATATTTTCACAGTTGTTTCATTCCACGTAAAATGCACACAGTCTCAGCTACACACTCTCCATACTTGTAGTGAATTTTCACAATCTTCACTCACTCGTCCGTCGTATAGCCCTCCATTTTGTTTAACCGCAACATGTGAGCCTACACAATGCTGCAAACTCTTCGGAATTAAAATGGGGCACAATTCAAATCCTGCTTTACTTTCGGGACATCCTTTAATTGGAAGAAGTGTAAATGGCGTTCTTGGAAAGTAATGGCATATTTTATTTTTGAACTGAATCTCTCTTTAGATTAAAAACGAACGATGATGTGAAGTTGTGGACAATAAAAAGCTGTCTTTTCTTCAAAACTGTGCTAGGACATGTCTTCTATGTTGATATTATTTGCGTATTTTTAATATCGGTTCGCGTTTCTAAGAAGTACATATTAACGTCGTAATAATAAATATAGAGAATAATAAAATTATTTGTTTAAAAGATATGGCTGGGGAAAAATGCAATTTACTGATAACATACATATTTCTTCAAAGTGTTTTTATGTACTTAATTACAAAATCTAACAATATTTGCGCAACAAAAAATTACTAGTATTTTATTTGTTATTTAAAATATTTAAAAATAATCAGAAATGTAGTATATTTGTATGAGTTAGTTTTATGCATTTACTATTTGAGTTTTTCTTAGTATTGTTTTCTTCAAAAAGTCATTCTAGAATAGTCAGAACTCTAAATATCGAAGAAAATCGTTCTTTTCATATTAATTGTGCAAAACCGTACTTATCTTATCAATTTCGACGTCACCTGTTACATGAGTGTTGTATAACAATGAAAAAGTAATATTAACGGTCGGTGGAAGTAAGCACAAAAAACAAGCGCTTAGGTAGGGAATTCTGGAAGGAAGCCTAGAGAGTTGAAGATAGGCAGTTGAAATGAGAACAGCGCGGAGTAAAAAGTAAGACGATCAGTGTAGTGTGAAAAATATAGAAGTAGTGGAAAATTAAGTGTTTAACCGGTATTAGTTAGCAGGTAATATTCTTTAAGTACTTTGTTGTTAATTGTTCTATGTAATCTTATGATTGTGATGGTTATAGATGTTTCATGATAATAATTCTTTGTATGTTTAGCTTCCATTCCTTTATGCTCAAGGGCATATATTTTTCTGAGGTAAAATTGTTATAATTAGTATTAACGATTACTCATTATTTATTTCATGTTAAAATATATATATATATATTGTGTGGGCGCCCAGACATTACAATAATGACTCCTTTGTTTCACATCTAACTTGTTTTTGTCATGATTACGTTGTTCGTAAAATATAGATGTTTCGTGATAAGAATTCTGTGTATGTTTAGCCTTCATTGTCTTACGCTCAGGAGCGTATATTTCTCTAAGATAAAATTGTTATAATTATTCTTAAAGATTGCTCATTATTTATTACATGTTAAAATATGTATATATTGTCGTGACTGCCCAGATATTGCATTAACGACTTTTTTGATTCACATTGAACTTGTTTTTATCATGATTAGGTTGTTCTTTGATTTCTTGTGCTCACTTTATGTCATACGTCTATACGAGCCTTGTTGAATTTACTAACATTTTCGCCCGTGCGGAACGAATCTGGATTAGTTCGATTGCCTCCCGTATGGGAATCCTGTGTTATGAAGGATCTTCCGAAATCTCAACTATAGCTGGATTGCCTCCCGTATGGGACTCCAGTACCTTCCGGCCCTGCCGGCTAACTAACACCAAACCTCTTAAGTTTTACTTGGAAGTGTGTATGACTAATATGAGGTAACAGATGACATTTAGTGACACATTAAATGAGACAGGTCTTATTTATCATTAGCAAAGGTTCTTAATTTATACCTTTGGTTAGCGGTTGTTTTGTATTTATATTTGGGTGGTAAGAGCAACGATCGTGGGTTTCTCTGCCATGCTCTTTCCCCACAGGAGTTCTAGGTGAGCCTGGCACTCTCATTTTATGTTAAATGGTTGTTAATGTTTTTGTTGTTCTTTCTATTTGTCACATGTTTAATTTGAAGACTGTTGTACGTAAATAATAAAGTTAGGTGTATTTACTCTGCTTTTGTTTTATAAAATTAAACCATACATCCCCTCTACAAAGTTAGTAGCCAGCGCCTTCCGGTCAATAAAAAAAAAATGGATACATACAATGTAGGTATTCCTCATGACGATCACAGGTTTTTGGCCACAACTACGTATATTCTTTTTTTTATCGAACCTGGGGTTGTTATACTACATAACGAATTATAAATTTTTAGCCTGAAAGACATTATCTATATACCATAACTTGACATTTCACTCAAATAGATAAATTAACAATTCATAGAATATTTGTCTTTTAAAAATATTTTTTGTTATTAATTTGAATTAGTTTAATACCAAAAGAACCTGCAATAGTACATACCACAGTCCGAGAAAGAGGAATCCGGGCAGAGATATAGCCAACTGCAATTGTCTCCATTCGTTTAACAGCCAGGCGATGCCAGCTATTGACATGTAGCTGAGAGAAACCGGGAACAGATAAGAGATTCCTGCCACCGTTCTCCAGTGTCCTCCGACAAGTTCTATTGACAGCACGAAGCCGCTGAACACGACTGAAACCGATATGAAGCCCAGAGCAGCCCTCAGTATGGCATACATTAGAAACCAGGGTGAAAAAGCGATAGCTGTGCCTGGAATAACAAATCCATAAAGGAATTATCATCATTTAATGTTTCTAAAGAAACTTTTTAATACTGTATTATTAAATTGTATTTGTACATCAATATTTAGCAGAAGTTTATTATTATTACTTGTATTTTAAATCCTATTTTTAATAACCGTGTTATTGTCTGGGACCAAAATAAAGATTAATCTTTCTTTGTATATGTGTCTTACGAAAAACCGGTATCTATATACGGAGTTCCGAGTTCTAATTTTATAGTCATACTCATATAATTGTTTGTGTTATACAAATTTAAAATATATATCTGTAAGATTAACACCTACACTATTTCTAAAAATAGTAATAAAAGGAACAGTTTACATTAATAGTTTTAGACTGCAATAAAAATGATTCCAAATGTATACGTATATCCGTGACGTTTTCCTATTATACAGGGTGAATCACATTTAACGTGAAAATACATAGTTTTTCAAATGAACATTTTTCTCCAATCTAGTGACTAAATTAAAAAAATCTATCACTTTTCTCAACTAATGGCAGTTTATAACTGGTTCAAACAAGAAATTAGTTTGGTATATTCACCTAAAAACCTTTTGTACTGCAAAAAAAATTGAATTTGCCTTGAAACAGACAGATATAATTGCCGTTAGTTTAGAATATGTATGTATGTTAAAATTTACTGAAGATTATTTCTCGAGTATATTTGCAAAAGTATTAGTATGGAAAACTCAATTTAATTTCAAAAGTACTATCACATACCTACTCTTGGATCCAATGTTAGATCTAATTTGCCCCGTACATAACACAATATTTAGAATAGAAATTTTCGTACATTTTAAATTTTAGGTAATATAGCTTTGTTATGTCAGCCCCTTATTTTTGTTATTACAATCGTAAAATAAAAAAAAGAAATGTTATTTCTACTTATTCGAGTATATACAGGGTGTTACAGAAATAATGTCATTAATTTTAACCACGTATTCGGAAATACAGAAAATCAAAAAACTATTTTTTCGACCTTTTAAAAAATAACTCCTTATAATAATAAGCAGTGAAAACGTTAAGAATAGGTATTAAAGTTAGGTTAGTGACCGAACAGTGGGGTAGGTCAAGATTCACTGTCGATGTAGGTCAGCGGTCAGGAGTGGTAAAAGGGGTTTAAATAATGATCTGAAAATATTTTTTTTTCAGCATAATTATGCATTTTAATTTTTTTAATCGCATATTCGTATTCTACTCATTTTTCCTTATCTTCCATTGAAATTAATGACATTATGACTGAAACACCCTGTATAGCATCCAAAGAGAATTCAGCTGTTCAACCTTTTATTGTTTTTCTAGCAAAAATTTACGATAGAAGCAAAGTCATTGACGTTACTTACCAAGTAAGCTTTGGATTAGAACAGATGCCATTAGGGTTCTTTTTCTACCATATTTATCAGATATTATACCACACACCAGACCTCCAATGGCGACACCAGCGAGGAACATCATTTCGGCGAGGCTGGTTAAACTTTTCCTATCACAGACCAGGTTAAACTCGGATATAATGGTTTGTCCTGAAAATTAGAAAACAAAACAAATGAGGAACATCGAGGAGGAATCGTGACAAAATTGTTTAAATTCCAAAACTGCATGTTTAAAAGTTGTGAATTTTGTAAAAGATAACGTCTTTTTCATTGAGTGAAAAATTGATTTGATTAAACTAAAAATATAAACAAGGCTTTTCTAAATGGTTTCGCGATATTTGCAGCAAATCAAAGAATATAGACTTCTTTTTCTCCTAAATTAGATCATCGATAATATCCCAAACCACGACAGAATTTCTAATACGACAATCCAATTTTCATCCCTAAACTAGTTACATAGTTGCGAATTCAAACCAACTATTTGCGAATTCAATTTGAACGCGGTCGAGCCCATTTGTGGTGAAGGTAGTTTAGTATAAGGGTTAATTGATGTGGATATCTCTCTCATACTAATTAAAGGGCATAAATTTATGATCTACAGAGATTCGTCCTGTTATGGCCTCACCGCAAATTACGCAGTTTCTGGCGTTATCGTTTCTGTTCTCTCCGGCCTCCAAAATATTGTCTATTAATTCGTTTACACAGGAAATGCCCTGATAGTACATATCGCTGAATATTGTTTATTAATTTTGATGGTTTTTGTAGTAAAATATTTAGATTGCCCTGCGTCTAGTCTAGCAATAGTAGACTTTTTCAAATGACGATCCTTGAAAGCCATTATTGTCTTTAACGTATTCAGGACTCCTCCAGAACTATCTTGATAGAACTTTTACGCAAGCCGACGTGATTTTAATTCAACAGCACCAATATACTTTTCCATCCAATACACTTAGCAATAAAGGCGAATACGCTCAATCCCGAACTCATAAACCCTAAGCCCAAAAACCTCCAAGCCCATAAACCCATAAGGTTTGTGGTGCTGTGTATATTTAAAAATCGAGAAATATGTCAAATTACTAAATTTCAACATGCGATATCTCAAAGATGAAAAGTGATATCGGAAAAAATCCAAGTGCGTTTTAAAGAGTAAGTATAGTAAGAAATATACCTATCCATGTAACATAACCTCAAATATGTAAAAACAATCGTGATTTTGACACTTCTAGGTTAGGATATCTCGAAAACCAGAGCCAATTGAGAAATTTCGACCTCGGATTTGAGTTCAGCGCACCAAAATCCTTCGGAAAAGTATATTCTGGTTTCTGGGTTAAAGTTTTGGCAAAATTTCGTCGGCCTGTGAATGAATGAAATCGAATTGAAATCTTTGACACACAAGTAGTGATTTATCGTCACCATTGAATATTACTAGACACGCACAGTTGTTTCGAACATGGTTAGGTATATTTTTTCTAAAAGTCCTCATATACAATTCCATTCTTTTCGATTTCGGCTGTTTACAAATGTAATAAAGGTGGAAGACAGGTTTAAAAAATTTGAAATTTCTTTGCATTTTTAAATAATGTAAATGTAAAGATTAGATTGGTTACTAATCCATTGGGTCGTTATTCAAGACTTTTCTAGTAATTAGGTATCATGGGAGTTATATGGATAATAATTTTCCGAAAGTGGTAAGATGTACGTCAACCGAGGATATTATTATTTGATAACACCACAGTAAATTTGACATAGGGAGTCTCGAAATAGTTAAAGTATATGCTTGGATAACGATTCTCTTTGTTAACTTTTCATCATTTTCCGAATTTCTTCCTTGATCTCAGAAGTGAAGGGCATACTTAAGTATATAGTGCATAATTTGTAGAAGGCTAAATAATACACACTACTACGACACTGCATGTAACACAACAAATTCAGTAGTTTGATCTTAAAAAAAATATGCACAATGCATTTGTATTTTTGTATCTAAATATAGAATGCAACAAAAGGTTTCCGCTTGATTTGAAATATTTATCACAGGTTAAAATTTAGTTTACTATATTGTAGATTTGAATACGCTTAAATGACAAGTCCTTCTAAATGTAATGGAAATTCGTTAATCTGAATTCATAGAAAATGTCATAGCTCTGTCTTTTCCACTACGAGTATTTTGAGAATTCCATTGAAATATGATGACCGAAATAATACTATGATATTTATTAACTTTGACACTTTTAGGTTAGGATATCTCGAAAACTAAAGCATCCTCTCATTCCTTATGGCCTTTGGCCTTATAAACAAATTAATTAATTATTAGTCTGGACAGTCCCGAGCATCTTTTACAATCGCACTGATTTTTTTCATGGTATATTTCATAATAATACATTGAAATCCATTCATCTTTTTTTACATTTCAAATTTGCAATCTGGAAAGTTTTTTATTTTTTAGCCTTAGCTGCGAAATGAAATATACGACGCACGCGCGTGATATAGTTATATATTATTACATGTTCGGAGCTTATGAAAAGAGCTTTAAGTTAAAAAAAAAATCGCCAAGATTCGTTGAAGAACAACGGAGTTACAGACTGTCAAAGTTGACGGCCTATTGTTAAACAAATTAGGTTGGTAGCGACAAAAAAAATACGGTCATAACCGGCAACCCGAGTACTTTCCCAGATAAAAATATTTTATTTGTGGAACTATGTTAAGTGCATAAGAAATATTGTCAAAAATCAGTGGGTCGCTTGATTTTTCGGCGAGCCGTGGCGCGGCCGAAGGGTGGGGTAAGCGAATGACAGCGAGTCCGAAGAAAATGATAATATTAATAGTCCTGCCGTTAGAAAGGCGAAATTCGATTGAAAATAATATATTTGACAGTCTGTAACTCCGTTGTTTTTCAACGAATCTTGACAATTTTTTTTTAACTTAAAGCTCTTTTCATAAGCTTTCCGAATATATAATAGTATATAACTATATCACGCGCGTGCGTCGTATATTTCATTCTGCAACTAAAGCTAAAAAATAAAAAAAAAATCCAGGTTGCAAATTTGAAATTAAAAAAAAGATTTCAATGTATTATTATGAAATCTACAATGAAAAAAATCAGTGCGGTTGTGGAAGATGCTGGGGATCGTCCAGACTAATAATTAGTTAATTTCCTTATAAGGCCATCACTTGTAAACTATTCAACTTACCGATTCCAGATTTCGTGTGAATTGATAAGGAATGAGAGGATGCGATGCCAAAACGTTCTGGTCCTAATAATAACGCAGCTTATAAATGTTTAATTCAAAAGTCATAAATAAACTTCTTCTGTTTATGACTTTTGATCTAATCAATATTTTTTTACGCTCGGGAGCTAGTGTTGTAGGTCTTTTGAAGACGAAAAAAAAGTACTTTATTGTTTTCTCGTGGAAATGAACGGAAAAAAGTTATAAGCGAAAAACGTGAATTTACGTAAAAATTATACAATTAACCAGCCTGTAAACAATCTTCCCCACATTTTTATTACTGTGGAAACTGGAAACTAATATGTTATTGTACATAATATTTAGCATGTATAGTGATAAATTCAGCTTGCCGAAACAAAAAGTCGCTTCTAACTCTATATTTCCTGGCCTATTGTTACTCATGCGGACTCTCGACAGGTACATCTGGCGACAATGCGAGTATACCACACTTTGTATACCACAATTCAGTTTTCAGAATCTGAAAATGTGTTAAACCCAGTGCTTATCTGAAGAAAATCCACAAAAGCCTGTTTAAAAATGTTTGTGGTTAAATTAATAATATCCCCCGCGTTTCCGTTGTTGGAAAATGCAGAGTAAAACCACAAATCATTGCAGTAGTAATGTCCTGACCACTATTCGACTTCCTCTACCTTACTAGGTACGACCACGGACTGTATAGGAATACAGAATTATATATTAAAAGTCTACTTTATAGAATTAAACTATTTTTAGATATTTCTGTGAAAAGAGATAAGCTATTTAAAACTGCTTTACGCACACATTACTATTCTTAGACAGTAAATTTTAAAATATGCCTGATTTCTGTAAATAAAAAACAAACGTGTAATTATACCAACGCATAGGAATACCAATGTCTATTTAACTGCTTAATTATGGACGTACGAGTATAATTTATAATCAAAACGCTATAGAAACGTCAAACTTTTCGTCGTAGGTATTTAGTCGTCATTATTAATTAACATGGAAGTGTCGCACGATCTTTCGTTTACGTGGGAATTAGCACTTCCTTAATTAGCTCGTAATTTTGGTAAAGTGCAAATTTTTACAACAAAGCAACGAGATACGATCTATCAACATGGGGAGCAAAATAGGTAAACAGGTGACGCAAATAAACTATGGCTACAAGCAAGTAAAATTGTCACAGAACAGTCATCTTTTATATTACATACTACCGCGGTTTGTAAGCCACGCTAAATACTAAACGAAACTAATAGTTTTGCGTAAATAGTTTAGACATGTATAGGGTGGTTAACTTGACCCCTGTAGTTTTGTAAGATACATAAAATATTAGTATTGAAAAGTGGTCTTTTGGGAACCATAACTGCTTGTTTGTGAAACAAAACTCAAGTCTCCAATTTGGAGCGTATTAATGACCTGGCAGGGTTCACACATACCTCAGACTGGATCCGCAAGAGTCCTGCAGTGGTGTCCGCATTGAATTTGAGAAATTGGCCTCCTTGAAAAAATGCCAATCTTGGAATGGTTGTTATCCCCGAGGAGTTATTGAAGAGAAAATGATTTTGGTTAATGAGGACCCTAAGGCTTTGTTCCAGTCCCAGTTTCGTAAAATTTGTGATTAGTTTATATTCCAAAAATCCGGAACTGTGGTGAAATTTTTCTCGACTTTATGCGCTGTTGGCGGTGGCTCAACGATCGGATACATGTTCCGTCAACATCATCTGCTACGACCGATGGTGTTTGGCGGCAATCGAGGCTTCGTAGGGAAATTTCGGAAACATAGGTGAAATATTTTTTTCCCGCTTCCTGCGTAGTAGATCGTTTGCAGTTTCTTGTTCGTGGTCTCGTAATTTTGGCGAGATTTGTGCCCCTTTTGGAAGGTTTGTCGAATTACTTTGAAAACATGGGTGAAAATTCGAAAATTTCTTTAATTTAATCTAATTTTGCTAGCCTGTTGGTAAAATTGTCACGGATATTTTGCGCTAGCTTCCACAGAAAAAAATGAGTATCCTGATTTTGACATTTGTTCTTATTTTAAATAGTTTAAGAAATGGGTTACACGTATTTGTTTCTTATTGTAATTTGCGGTTACATTAATCCGACATAAGTCTATTACAGTTTGTTTTTAACATGACACAGTTTTATACTAAACGATATGCATTAAAATTACCAATTAATTGTTTAGTTTTTGCGAAACGGAAAAGGTTGTGCAAGAATGAGGAATTGTAACAATTTCTTCACAAATTTGTTAAACAATTTATTGAAACAAAAACCGTTACATGTAAAATCCGTTTTTGTAAATATATGAGACGTTCTACGTCACATTTACCTCCTTCTGTCTTTCGGAGTATCAACATATTCAGGAATATAAAGTTCTTATTCATCTAGAAATAGTCAAAAACACACTGGTACTCCACATTTATTGACTAATATTGAATCTAGAAACCCTGAACCTAAAACTTAGTTGCGTATGGTCAAAAAATGACAATAAAGAAAGTGCAAGGTCAAGAGAGGATATTGGGCTATCATTGTTGGTGATTATAAAGAGACTATAAACCGCTAAACTTGGATACCTTGATCGCAAGAACCTGCACATGGCAAACCTACGCACGTCGAAAGGCACAGAATGAGAATTTCAAGAATGTTTTGAAAAATTTCCAAAGTTCCCCTACGATTGCCACCAAACACCATCAACCGCAGAAATAACGCACTAGGCCTGAAAATTTTCGACTCGATTCTGAATGTTTGAAAATCAAAACATTACCGAAATTAATTACAGTTCGATAACTCTTTGGAGACAGCCATCATTCCAAGATGGGCGGTTTCCGAGGAGGCGAAATTTCATAATTCAACACGAACGTTACTGTAGCACCCTTGCGAATTCAACCTGAGGTGTGTACGAACGTCAACCCAAGTCCTTGCAGCTTATTTAACTAGAGACGGATATCTGGTCAGTACGTTAGTACGCTCCAAATTTTGCTTTTGCATTATATGCAACTATCATAATTACTCTCATCTATTGTAAAATATCTAAAAATTTGAATATATCTCGCAATTTTTATTAAATTCATAATGTTAGAAAATACAGCCTCTTACATATTCGTTTCTCACTACATCTCGGAAAGGTAAGATATACGAACTAGATTAAACAGTGGCAAAGTTGTACAATCAGGGGACCAACATAATGCCTCTAAAAAATCAAGGCTAACATGATTAGTTTTCAAAATATCTGAAAAAAATGAAATTTGATTTGAGGTGATACTGAAGAAAGAAAAACACTTTCTCATGGCAACTTTTTGCCCTCTATCGAATGGCATAATCAATTTTTGTATGTAACGTTTCGTCTCTTCAGGGCCATAATCAACTAATTTTTTAAATATGACACATTACATTTTTTTCAAGCCTTCATGACCCCCAATACTGTACTGCCTCAGCCCGAACCATATTCAGACGTTTTGTCACGAAGACTTGCAAAAAATTTAATAAAATTTCCAGGGTCGTATTTAAAAAATGAAGTTGGTGATGGTCCTGCAGAGACGAAACGTTACATATAACAATTGATTATGCCATTCGATAGAGAGCAAAAAGTTGCCATGAGAAAGTGTTCTTCTTTTTTCAATATCATCTCAAACAAGGCTGAAATGAATAAAAAACGGATTTCCAAAATTTCGTTTTTTTTCAAATATTTTGAAAATTAATCAAGTTAGAATTAATTTTTTAGAGGCATAATGTTGGTCCCCTGATTATGTAACTTTGCCCTCATTTGAGCTACTTCGTATCTCTTACCGTTCCCGAGATCCCTGTAGAAAGAACCGAATTTGTAACAGTATAGGGTTAAAATATTATGACCCAAAAGAAAATATGAATGAAATGGAGGAATAAGACAACTTAGTCCTCACAAATTTGCAAGACATATGAAACTGGCTTCAAAACGCAAAGAAAATTAAGAAAACAAAAGATGAACGATCTCTGAACAGTGCCACGTCGTCGGTTTAGATTTCTTGTTTCGCGAGCCATATCGCTTCCACCTTCATTCGAAGAATGGAAACTGTTTCGTGGTTGATATTTATATTTCCTGTGTAGTTCTAACCCTTTTTTTATTTAATTGTCAGAAATACCCAGTTAATTAACAAACAGTAAATGAATATGCCACAGACAAATAATTACAGACAATACATTAGTTTCCATCTGACCCCTTTTCTCGATTACAATTCAATTCTATTTCAATCGAACCGACCAGTATAAGTAAATATAAATACCAACCAGAGGACTTAATCTCTAGTGTCAGAGTTTCTTCTGAAGAAAAGAGCGATATGGCTCTCGACTCTCATATGCGATGGTTGTAGTTGGTAGACCTCTAGCTCCTCCATCATCTCCATCTAAAGATATGAGGGTTAGAAGTTCTACTTCAGTGGCTGAATTCATTACACACTTCTGCGATCAATGCACCATCCGTAAAAACTCTTAAAACCCGATATGATGCAAACCAATGAACTTAGACTACGTATACAACTGTTTCTCCTATACTTTTTCTTTCTTCTACAGTTTTTACTTTTATTTTGCCACCATTTATTTTACCAGGCTAAACAAACTTTGTCTCAACCAGTTGCTCCAATAATAACGATTTCAAATTTCGACTTACCCTGCCCACCGAACTCCCAACCGTGGCACTGTATCCTCCCTAAGTTACTCGAACTCGCGCACAAATCACTTTCCGTTACGTTCGCCGCGACGACGTCAAGCATGGAGCAAAAGTCCAATGTCTGCCCCGTGCAGTTTTTCCATAGGGACGGCGCGACGTCCCTGAAGGCGTCAGGTCGCGAGCACCAGGTCTCCTTCTCGGCGGAATGGAACGTGGGGGCAAAGATGTGCCACGTACACGGTATGTTGAAGAGGGACAGCAGGAAGGTCACGAGTAGTTGCCATTTGCCGAACTCCCCGATGGCCTTGGAGATGATGTCCTCCTCCTCTTCCAGCGTCTTCTTCTTGTCATCTGGCATAGCTGCAACCAAGAAAAAATATTATAAAGTACAGTGGTGGACCATGGAATTGACGGTAGTGGTAGCAAATTGAGATTAACTCGAACTTTAGATCTTAAATTTTTCAAATGTATGGAAGAAAGTCATTTAGGAACTGTGTAAAAACCCAACCATTAAACTTGTGACCGATTTTTTACAAAAAAAGGTCTGGTATACATCATTGAATTCTAAATTAACCAAAATTGCGGTTTCTTAAGTAATCGTTAGCAGCAAAATCAATTTTGTTCAATCAAGTAAATACTGACTACTGTCAAAATAATATTTACTTTAATGTGACAAAGACTCATGCGGTCTCATTTCGTAATCGTCAACGTGCAACTACTAAATTAAACCTAAATACAGGTTAAATTTCTGGGAATCGAATTTGACAGTAATTTGTCCTGGAAGCCTCACTGTTCAAATCTTTGTTCAAAACTGAATTCAATTTGTTATTTATTCCGAAATTTTCGTACTGTGCTTGTAACTAAGAAACTTATAAATCTGTATCATGCACAGGTTGGCAGTAGAATAAATTATGGGGTCTGTTTCTGGGGTGGGTCTGTTATGTCTTCTGATGTGTTTGCATGTCAAAAAAAGGTACTAAGATGTATTTTTAATGTTTCCAGTTCACATTCATGTAGAGACTTTTTTAAAAACTGTTCCATTCTAACTCTACCTGGTCTTTTCATATTTGCTTTGTGTAATTATGTTTTTAACAATAGATCTAAGTTTTATACCAACATGGAAATTCATGAAATCAATACACAACAAAAAATGAATACCATATACCATTTATGAGACTGCAGCTCACCATGAAATCACCAAACTGTCTGGGCCTTAAAGTATTTAATAAATTAGCTAATGATGTAAAGACCTGTTGTACTGTTGAACTTTTTAAAAAGAAACTAAAATCGTACCTAATTGATATGTGTCCGTATTTTTTGGATGAGTACTTTGGATTTTAATGGACTGCGATTTTGTTTTTTTATGTGAACTATATGTGATCTAATGTGTTGTTAATTTATTTAATTTAGATTATAAGTTATGTGTGACAAATTCTTATACAGTGTAAAACTGTCTATTAGAAAATATATATTATTATTATACATAAAACATTAAAACTACTAAGTGAATTAGGACTTACACTGAATAAAAACAAATGTGAGTTTCAGAAAACCGAAACTAAGTATCTGAAGTATCTGGGGTATATCGTGTCTGCTGACAAAATTAAGGTAGATCCAAAAAACACTGAGGCGATAATTCATTATTCAATACCCCGAAATAAAACGGATATATAAATTCCTAGGACTTATTAATTATTTGTCGAAATTTTTAAAAGATTTGTCAACAAAAACCCAATCAATGCGTCAACTATTAAGAAATAATGTAAATTTCTTACGGACAGATAAACATCAAAAAGATTTTGATCTTTTAAAATCAAAAATAGTCTCTTACCCAATCTTGGCAAAATGTTCAACATCAAGAAAAACACGAGTGTCTGCTGATTCAAGCGAGTATGGATTAGGAGGTGTGTTAGAACAACTCCAAGATGATGGTTGTTGAAGACCAGTGTACTACGTTCGAAAACATTCAGTGCATTAGGAATTACGTGGACTTGTGAATGCCTAGAGCAATTTTTACTTGGATCAATATTTGAAATATGTACAGATCATAAACCGCTCACTGTTATTCTTAAATCCAAAGAAATTAATAAGCTGTCAAATCGATTGCAACGCCTTAGAATAAGACTTTTAAGATTTATGTAATTATGATATCACGTATGTACCAGGCAAAACATTTTTTGTACCTGATGCATTATCAAGAGCTCCTATAAGTGAAGGCTCCAATGACAACGACGTCATACATCAAGACGATGAAGTGTATATCAATGCTGTATTTTCGGAGATATTTATCAACATTATTATTCTAAATTTTCTGAAATAAAAAAGTTGAAAAATATCACGAGTAAAGTTGTAATTAAATCTCTAAAATGTATATTTTCTCGCATGGAATCCCGGATGTTTTAAGGACCGATAATGGACGACAATTTACGAGCTTTGAATTTCAACAATTTGCTAAAGAGTACGGCTTTGAATGGATAAGCTAAATTTAACTTACATACCACAATTTGAAGAATTTGAAGGTTTTGAAGATGTGGGAAATGAAAGAAGACCAAAGTTTGCCTCATCTCGTGTAGGCCTGGACTGCCTTCGTAGGTGGGCCCCATCCGTCGTCTACCCCGACCGCAAATGCGGCCGGTGTAGGCGCTTTGTGGGACCTCCTTTTGTCCTCGATGAGCCCCGCCGGCTAGGGCCCTTTCTTCTGGCGCTCTTCTTGCTTCGCCGGCTCGTCTGTGTAAACCCCGGGGGTAGTGTCATGTTTATGTGTGGTATGGTTGGGTAGGGTAGTGCGGCTATGCAGCCTGGGATGCGCTTTGCTAAGGTGGCCCTTAGGCTAGCGCGGGAGGGGAGGGNTGTGTGTGTGTGTGTGTGTGTGTGTGTGTGTGTGTGTGTGTGTGTGTGTGTGTGTGTGTGTGTGTGTGTGTGTGTGTGTGTGTGTGTGTGTGTGTGTGTGTGTGTGTGTGTGTGTGTGTGTGTGTGTGTGTGTGTGTGTGTGTGTGTGTGTGTGTGTGTGTGTGTGTGTGTGTGTGTGTGTGTGTGTGTGTGTGTGTGTGTGTGTGTGTGTGTGTGTGTGTGTGTGTGTGTGTGTGTGTGTGTGTGTGTGTGTGTGTGTGTGTGTGTGTGTGTGTGTGTGTGTGTGTGTGTGTGTGTGTGTGTGTGTGTGTGTGTGTGTGTGTGTGTGTGTGTGTGTGTGTGTGTGTGTGTGTGTGTGTGTGTGTGTGTGTGTGTGTGTGTGTGTGTGTGTGTGTGTGTGTGTGTGTGTGTGTGTGTGTGTGTGTGTGTGTGTGTGTGTGTGTGTGTGTGTGTGTGTGTGTGTGTGTGTGTGTGTGTGTGTGTGTGTGTGTGTGTGTGTGTGTGTGTGTGTGTGTGTGTGTGTGTGTGTGTGTGTGTGTGTGTGTGTGTGTGTGTGTGTGTGTGTGTGTGTGTGTGTGTGTGTGTGTGTGTGTGTGTGTGTGTGTGTGTGTGTGTGTGTGTGTGTGTGTGTGTGTGTGTGTGTGTGTGTGTGTGTGTGTGTGTGTGTGTGTGTGTGTGTGTGTGTGTGTGTGTGTGTGTGTGTGTGTGTGTGTGTGTGTGTGTGTGTGTGTGTGTGTGTGTGTGTGTGTGTGTGTGTGTGTGTGTGTGTGTGTGTGTGTGTGTGTGTGTGTGTGTGTGTGTGTGTGTGTGTGTGTGTGTGTGTGTGTGTGTGTGTGTGTGTGTGTGTGTGTGTGTGTGTGTGTGTGTGTGTGTGTGTGTGTGTGTGTGTGTGTGTGTGTGTGTGTGTGTGTGTGTGTGTGTGTGTGTGTGTGTGTGTGTGTGTGTGTGTGTGTGTGTGTGTGTGTGTGTGTGTGTGTGTGTGTGTGTGTGTGTGTGTGTGTGTGTGTGTGTGTGTGTGTGTGTGTGTGTGTGTGTGTGTGTGTGTGTGTGTGTGTGTGTGTGTGTGTGTGTGTGTGTGTGTGTGTGTGTGTGTGTGTGTGTGTGTGTGTGTGTGTGTGTGTGTGTGTGTGTGTGTGTGTGTGTGTGTGTGTGTGTGTGTGTGTGTGTGTGTGTGTGTGTGTGTGTGTGTGTGTGTGTGTGTGTGTGTGTGTGTGTGTGTGTGTGTGTGTGTGTGTGTGTGTGTGTGTGTGTGTGTGTGTGTGTGTGTGTGTGTGTGTGTGTGTGTGTGTGTGTGTGTGTGTGTGTGTGCGTGCGTGCGTGCGTGCGTGCGTGCGTGCGTGCGTGTGTGTGTGTGTGTGTGTGTGTGTGTGTGTGTGTGTGTGTGTGTGTGTGTGTGTGTGTGTGTGTGTGTGAGTGAGTGAGTGCGTGCGTGCGTGCGTGCGTGCGTGCGTGCGTGCGTGCGTGCGTGTCGTTGTCTCGTTGTCTTCGTTTCTTGATCCTGGCTGTCTCTTAAACAGAAAAGGTTAGCGGGCAGGGGGGGAGTTTGCTGACCATGCTACTGTATTTATGGTCAAAGGAATAAGAAAACAGTGGAAGCAGCCATTATGTTTTTATTTTGTAGAAAGCAATATGAAAAAAGATGAGCTGCTGTCAAAACTAAAGGAAATAATTGGTCATTTGATAGAAATTGGTTTAAAGCCAGTAGCAACCGTGTGTGATTAACATCATACAAATTTGGCAGCATATAAGGAACTGAAGAGAAATGAAAAATGCATCAAAAATAATATAGAACGAATATTTTGGATTTGTCTTAGAAGAGTATGAAATTATTCCATTGTTTTATCCTCCTCACCTACTGACGGGTTTTTAATTTATTATATATTATAATATAAAATTTCGTAAGAAACAGACCAGATAGCCAATTGGCAAGACAAGATAATTTATATAAAAATGATGACCCGATTCCGGATTTTAAAATGTGTGCTAAATTAACAAACATGTGTATGAAGAGAAAATTAACAAAATGAAGGTTAATTTAGCTGCACAAGTTTTTAGCCAACAAGTCAGTGGATTAATGAGAAATTTGTCCAGATTAGGTAAAAATATTTTTTGTAATAATTTATACAATTTTAAATATGTTGTAACGGTTAATTTAGTAGAACACGCGGTATTCCAGAGAGACGGCAAAACTAAAAGTTACATTTAGTAGGCAACCAACCATGTATTTATTAAAGATTTGTGTTATAATTATACATTTTTAGTATTTAGAATTACTTCAATAATACAAATTGGACAATCTATACAATAATATAAGTCAGCGGTAGATTAGTTTAACTTTTAGAGGTAAAGATCGTTAATATTTGTTTAAAGACTTGAAAATTGTTTCATGAAAGTGCTACACTCTGCTTATAAGTTAAAATGTATCAACAAAATATTTACAATATTATGCAGTGATATGATTAGTGGTGAAATGATGTTCCAATAATAAATAGATTTCATTAAATGTTTAA